AGAATAGAACATGATGCTTCGGATTTACTTGGATTTTTATATAATAAAAAATGTGAAGATTCTCTTTGGTTTGTTGAGGCTAAATTTGACGGACCCAAGAGACGTTTATATAATATAATTTGGATTTCACCTAAACAATTACAAATATGGACAAGATTTCATGATATAATTTTTGTAGATACTACATCTCGTACAAATCAGTATAATATGGTAGCATGTTTCTTTGCAGCTATAGATAATGCTAATCTTATATGGCTTGTTGCAACTGCACTATTGGAAGATGAAACTGAAGAGGCATTTATTTGGGCTTTACAAATGATAAATAAGGCTACTAATTAATTATATCCAAAAGTAATATTTACTGATTCAGATTTTGCATTACATAATGCAATAACAGCAGAATTTCCAACTTCGCTTTATTGTTTGTGTCTATTTCACATAAATCTCAACTTAAAAAAAAATTTACTATCAAAACTTACAAAAGATAAGTTTTATAATTTTAAAAAAGATTTTTATATATGTCATAATACACTAGTATCGCAAATATTCGAAGATCGTTGGGCAGCACTAAAATTAAAATATCTAATAGCTGTTAGCTATTTAAATCGACAACTTGATCCTTTCAAACACAAATGAGCAGCATGCTATACTCAAACTCAATTTACTGCAGATGCAAACAGTACACAACGTGTAGAAAGTTTAAATAAAAAAATTCATGATTGTGTTAATTCTCAATCCTCTCTTTTAACTCTCGTTGAAGAAATACAACAGTTTCTTAATAATGAAGCATAATATGTTCAAGTGGCTGAATATCAACAAGAAATTCCTATGATCAGTTTAGCAACTGTGTCACAAATATACTTTCAATCTATTGATACAACTATTCGAGAATTTTTATTACCCTCTATGATTACATTAATAACAAAGCAAATGCAAGAATGCTTCTTCTATGACGCAATAAGAATTAATTTACAAGATATTAGTATAATGACTGAGGTAATATGTATTATAATTTAATATTGTTTTAGTACTTATTTATAAATATTTGCTAATTGATACTTATACGTAGCTTAATGATAATTATGATGAGAATATACGAGAAGACAGTTATGATACTCAAAAAAGTTTTCTTATTGACATTTTGAATACTATTCAACAAACTGATATTATTAAACTTTGGCAAACTGTGATTTCATGTGGCACAAAGAAGCAATTTATAGTATTATTAACTGATGGGTCACATAGATGTACATGTAACTTACTTATTACACATGAATATCCTTGTCAACATTTTTATAAAGTTTTACGATCTTCCTCTCAAGCCAGATGGCATATTGGGCTAGTAGCTAGTAGATGGTACAAAGATAACAAAGTTGGATTTAATTTTGAAAA